TCAATCTTAATCCTCCGTACTTCTTCTTTCACTTTTCTTTCTTCCAAATTCTCTCTTGTGAACTATTTCATTTACATTATTACCGTTTTAGGTGATGGTGGATCCTGATGCTCCGAGTCCTAGTGACCCTAACCTTAGGGAATACTTGCATTGGTAAGCTCCTTGTATAAGAAGACATTTATTTTGTGTGAAACGAAAAAAAAAAAAAAAAAAATCCATTTATGTTTTTGGAAACCATTTTAGCAAATTTTGCAACATGGAATAAGTTTTTCAAAATGTGACAACATAGTGATAGACAATGGATTAATTGACCCCTTGATAGTGAGGGTTAAACCAAAATAATAATTTCTTTCATTTTGTCGTAATCTAAATTATAAAGGGCTTGGATCTAAACCCTAATCGGTAGCTAACATATAGCATGACAAAATGAAAGAAATTATAACCACAATGACCAACTTTAAAGAGAATAAAAAGTCTAGGAGCATATAAGTGGCTTTCATGGCTTTAATCTGGCTACCACATAAACAAAAAGCAAGCTCAGATATACAAGGTTCTCACTTCATTATTAAACTCAATGGTCAACCATCATTTATCACTATTGTTTTCTAGCTTTATTTTGATACCATGTTACTTCCGAAAACAACATATGTTTGTTTTTATTGTAAAAGTCGAATCTCAGATACTCTTTTCTACTTCATATTTAATGTTGCTTCTGATTGGTTTACTCGTTTGCTTTTTGTAATACTTTATTCTCTGCATGTAAACCACAAAGGTTGGTGACCGATATACCAGCGACCACGGGAGCACGTTTTGGTGAGTGTTTTGTTTTTTTATTTCACATCCAACCATTCATATTGTTCGTTGCTCCACTAGTTCTGAATTCATTTATTGCGGCTAATTGCACAAAACTTTAACAAAAATTCGCGTAAATAAAACTATACTGTGGTCAACGAACTCAATTTTTCCATGATTTTATGTGGATCGCTACTTCGTTTTAATTTTCTTATTAAGTATGGTAAAATGGTGAGCGAAGGAAGAGGTAATTCGATCGCTAATTTACATAACAATCCTCAAAGGTAGTGTGGTTTTGTTTTTCATAAGAATCCAAATTTTATTTTGATCATACGTATTCTTGCAAACAAGGGTACTATAAAATATTACTTTTCTGTTTTTTTATTATTATTGTAGTAATTATTATGAATCAATGTCACTGTCGTCTGTACAAGTAAAGTGAAATCTATAAGCAATATGCACTCGAAAGGACAGGAATTTCATAAAGCATTAACTTTTTAAGTCATCCAAGAATCTTTTCTGCCTAAAAGCAAAACAAAAAGATATCCAAACAGACACCTAATCAATCTCTAAATGATGTCAAATCTTGATTTTGAGACTAAAGCACGTATGAATTTTTATTCTCGTAACAAGCGATTCCTTAGAACATGTTGAAAGCCAAAACAAGATGGGGTAAGGCTCAATCTCCTACAAATATCTCCAGTGTGCTATAAACTTTAATTAATGTGATTAGATTCCCGGATCAAATGCCGAAAGCAACACTTTAAGATCATGTATTTTTGTTTGTTCTTTTTCTTGATTGTTATCTTTGTAGTGTAGGGTTTAATTTCATTCTTATAAATTTTTCTAGGCCAAGAAATTGTGTGCTATGAGAGTCCAAGGCCGTCAATGGGAATTCATCGCATGGTTTTTGTGTTGTTCCGACAGTTGGGTCGACAAACTGTGTATGCCCCTGGATGGCGCCAGAACTTCAATACTAAAGACTTTGCGGAGCTTTACAATCTTGGTTCTCCGGTGGCAGCAGTCTACTTCAACTGCCAACGTGAAAGTGGATTTGGTGGGCGAAGAAGATAAGATAAAAGCATGTTGATGGCATGCAATGACGATATAAGTGCATATGGATGGATTGCACACCAAATTATCACGAATCTTTCTATATAATATATGTTATATGTTATATATCAAAAGAATGTAACTAGGAACCATAGTCCTAAACGAATAAGAAAACTACGGGTGAAGTACGTAGTTGTAAGACGTAATAGAAATAGAAACGATAGAAAAATGATGAGTTGGAATGAAATAAATATACATCATTTTCATTATTGTTTACTGTGACATGTAAATACCAAGTATTATGGATTACATAGCTCGAAAGAATGGAATGGATCGGATAACTAAGGCCAAATAAATATTAAACATTAGCTAAATTTGGGTAAGTAATTAACATGTTTCAACGTAAAATTTGAGTTTAATATGTTGGTACGTGTTCGTTGTTGTCGCTAAAGGCATCGCCGGTAATACTATTTGACCACGATCCGCGTAAAAGTCGAAGATTACACCCTACCCATCGATCTTGTTGCAAATCCAAAGGCTTGAATGTCGTTTTATACATCATCAATAGTGGCCATATGGCGGCGACGGTGTCGCCGCTAATACTCTTATAAACAGATGGCGTCAAACTTCCCTCCACTCATTAGTCACCACTATTAACATTTTGTGGCCGCTAATACTTTGGACAAATAATACTCCCAATTTCTTTTGTTTTCTGTTCTGTGTTCCCTTCTCATCTCAACAACAATTCTCTCTGTACCAGACGAATAATCGCCAATATATTCGATTTCGTCGGAAAAAACCCCAACTCGACACATCACTGAAAATTCCCATCACCGGCGACAGGTAACGATATTTATGCCGTTTTTTTATTTCTTTTACTTTTCTCTTTTTCCAACTGAAAACTCGAATTTGAAGTGATTTTTTACCAAAATTTTCAGTTTTAGTGTCAGAATTTAGAGCTCCTATAGGAAAAAATTTGGAACATCACTTATTTGCCGGAATTGTTAAACCCTCACTGAAAACTTTGGAATTACACCACCACAGGTTCCTTTTCAAATTTTTATCTTTCATTTTGTATATGGAATGTTGATATTGTTTATATATGATATGCATTTATATGTGTATGATGTATTTGTTTTTCCGTGTTTATTTGTATGTGTAGTATTTGTGTATGTGTATGACTTTTGAAATTATATATGTAATTTGTATGTATGGAAAAAATGAAAAAAAGTAGGTTGTTATAATGGAAAAAAAGTATGATGCTATAATGAATATGTAATATATGTAGGGAGTATGTTTAAGTGTATTTGTATGTATAATGTGTGTATTTATGTATGTAACGTGTGGAAAAAATGAAAAACAAAAATATACGATGCTATAATTAAAAAACAGATTTTTTTGTATATTTGCATGCAACTTGGAAAATATAATACTATCATTCAAAAAAAAAGTTTGTGTATTTGTATGTAACTTGAAAAGTACAATGCTATAATTGAAAAAAAAATGTGTATTTGTATGCAACTTGGAAAGTACAATGCTATAATGGAAAAAAAATAGTTTGTACTTTACAAACTATTTTTTATTTTTATTTTTCTCCATTATAGCATTGTGTTTTCCAAATTACATACAAAATACACAAACTTTTGTTGTGTAGAATGGATGTTTAAGTGTATGTTTATATTGTAATGTTTATGATGTATGATGCAATAATGAATATACAATATATGTAGGAAACATGTTTAAGTGTATTTATGTAGAAAGTATAATGCTATAATGGAAAAAATAAAAAAAATAAAAAAGTTTATGCATTTGCATACAACTTGGAAAGTACAATGTCACAATTGAAAAAAAAAAATTTATGTATTTGTATGCAACTCGGAAAGTACAATGATATAATTGAAAAAAATAAAAAATAGTGTGTATTTGTATGCAACTTGGAAAGTACAATGCCATAATGAAAAAACTGAAAAAAAAAAAAATAGTTTCTGCTTTATAAATTATTTTCTTTCAATTTTCCATTATAGCATTGTACTTTACAAATTACATACAAACACACAAAAAAAAATTCAAATTTTCCATTATAGCATTGTACTTTCCAAAAGTACAATGCCCAAATAGAAAAAGCAATATAATATTTAAACTAAAATGTTATTAAATAACAAAAATATTGTAAAGTAGAATGCTATAACAGGATAAATAGGATATTATAAATAAAAAATATATTCAAAAGTACAACGGTTAAATAGAATAAACAATATAATATTAAATTAAAATGCTATTGTGGAAAACTTAAAACAAAATTATATGCCATAAATAACAAAAATATACAAAAGTAAGATGCTATAAATTACAAAAAAAATATTCCAAATTCTGTTTGTTTGTGTGTCTTCTTTGTAATTATCATTAGCCTAGAATACCCGCCCGTAATTGCATTAGAAATTAATTTCGGGATGTCCCCGTTTTAGGACTGTTTTTTGAATACTTTATCTCATTTAGGATGTGAACATGTATTACATGATTGTTTGTTTAAGAAAGATTCGTTGTCATTTTCTCTTTGTTCCTCGGGTGTGTGTATATATATATATATATATACACACACACACACACTTAGGAGCTAAGCATAAATATTGTCGAATTTTTCTTAAACCTATAATCATGTAATACACGTTCACATATGAGATAAGGTGTAACATCCCCTTTAAAATATAGCGATTAAATAATAATCCCAAAACCCCGAGAAGTGATTCTTATTATTATCTTATATCATTATAGTCCAAAAGTAAAATAATAATTAGTGGGGTATTGGTTTCGGGGAGCCAAAGATATAATTTTGATTTCTGAGGGTTAACATGTAATTTCGGAACTTTATTGTAAGGATTTTCATAAGTCAAGGAGTGTTTGGTAACATTTTGGACTTGATATGAAATGATTTTTAGAAGGGAGGTTTTAGATTATAAATTGAGGACTTAATTTGCAAGAAGAGGAGAAGGAGGGGTGGGTCTTGTCACTATGGAGAATCCATTGGAAAAGATCGGGTATAAAACTGTTGCATCGCCTCTCCAACCCTAACCCTAAGGAGCGGCCGTCACCTTAGCATTCAGACGCCATCACTTGGTGCCCCTTCATTCTCCGGTGCCGCACCCCCCCCCCCCCTTTCATACATGATATTGGCCGACGACGCTAACCATTGCTGCTGCGAAAACTCGAATCGCTAACCTGCTCCTTCTCCATCCCTTCTTCTTGTTGTTTGTCGCTGCCGCTACCAAATTGGATACTCTGCCGATGTTGTCTTCATTATGGAGGTCGAAGAGCCCAATCGTCGTTGTTTTTGTTATGGCTAAGAGCGAAGCCACCGTTGGCGCGACATTCAATCGGGAAGTGATTCTCATGTCGTCGTTGCTGTTGCTCGTGAGTCGCTGTTTGCCATCGCACGACCAGACATCAGGAATGGGGAAGAACTCAATGTGGGACATTGGTGACCTTGTGACGGGAGTTTGAACTGGTTCTATGGTCATGGGAGGGACCGGATGGACCTGTTGACGTGGAATATCGATATGAACGTACGTTGCCGCCCTTAGTCGCTATGCTGCCCATTTCCTTTGCCCTTGTCGCTGCCTCATGCCACCAGGTGGGTGGCCGGAGTCCTAAGCAGAAGCGTGTGTGTGGGTGTGTTTTCAGTTATTAGTGTGTGATGCGTATGATTTTGTGGACCAAAAATGTAAAGGGACCACCATGGCCGCCAACCATGGTGGCTGCCACCATCCAACCACCGCCCACCGCCACAAGGTCGGTCGGGTGTGTGTGTGTATGTGTTTATTTGAATATCATATTATAATATTGTAATCATCAAAATAGTAAAGAAAATCCATCACCATCACCGTTAGGTGGTGGTTGCCGCCTCCTGCCGCCACCAGCCGCCATGTCGGGTGGCGGTGTGCTTTGATGGCGTTTGGACCTTGTTTGGGGATGTTTGGACAATATGGGATCAATGAAACCCTAATGGGCCCAATAAGTCCCAATGTGACCTAAAAGCCCAACCAATGGACTAATGGGCTAGTATTGGGTTGCAAAAACCTTAATCAGGGTTGGAAAAACCTAATGACATAAAACCCTAATTTTGAGAATTCATCGGGACACACGAGATTATTTAATAACTTGAAATATTAAATAATAATCATTGGCAAACTAATTTAAGGCATAATGGACTTAATGGATTAAGTCCTGAATGGGTTAAGTAAGAAACACTTAACCCTAATCATCATTTCATTTAAAAACTCTAATTTTGGGATTATGGGCTTGGAATTATCGGGACCCATATTTGGGCCATTGGAATGGAATTGTGTATTAAGCCCAATCACAACATATGACTTATTTAGAAAAGTAAGGGACTTAACGGATTAAGTCCCTAATGGGTTAAGTTAGAAACACTTAACCCTAGTTGTCACTTTATGTGAAACACTAATTTCACTTAGGCCTTGAGTTAGGCTTTCTTATAGGGTTTTGGTGGTTAGACTATTGATGGACCATCCAAGAATAAGTTAATGGACCAAAGTAATTAGATGGGCTTTAGGATAAGGTCCATGTGAGGACTTCGGCCTAATTTGGAAGATTGGGCCATATGTTGGGCCTTGGCCCATTACTTGACTTTTGGGCTTTTGGAGTGTGAGTTGGACTTTGGGCTTGGAACCTAATTATTAATTGGGTATTGTTTGATGTTGACAGTTCAGAAATCTATCAATCAATAGCTAGAGTGTACCTGTGTGACTTCAGTAGTGCCAGATGAGTTCTCCTCGTGTGAATCGAGTCTCAAATCAAGGAAAGGATTTTTAAAATGAAATTTTAAATGGTTTTCAAAATAAGTAAAGGAGGATGCAGGGAGTACAATAAGCCAGAGCCAGTAAGTAGACCCCAAAATACCATACAGTTATTTGATTATGTAATATGTTAGAACAACATGCTAGTACTAGGCTAGGGATCTTCAAGGAATTGCATGATAGAATTGCATGATTACATGATGCCTGCTAGCCTAGGGTTTTTGTGTATGAGATTGACATCATTACTGTAGTTACTTGTGTATGCATCACGACTATATATAATTAAGGTCTTATAGCATGAGAATGTTTGATTTCGTTTTATGTTCTATTCTTATTGACTAGGGATTAGGGTAGGATTGAATATTCAAAAGTCTATGGGGTCCAGTGTTATGTATGGCTAGCATACACTAGTGATGCAGGGTTGATGGAAGTTTCATGGATGGGTGGGTTGTGTGAGGCCGGGAGGCCAGGTATGAGATATTTAGCATTCCTCTAGGAGTGAGGATTGAGAGCTCGCTATGTTTATGTATATTGTTAGGGATTTGTGATGATACTTGAGACAAATATGGGTAGGTGTGGAAGGTAGTATGGGCCCGTACTACTGAAAGCACAGGACCTATACGCGTAGCAAGGAAGTGACAACCCCTAAGCTTTGTTGGGAATTGGCTCTTTGTCATTATATGGGTTATCAGAGACCTTTCTAGTGTGTTACCAGAACGGTGGTTACGAGACATCTTGAGAGCAGATTCGAGCTAGGATTGGGAGCTGGCAGCCAGGATAGGCCAACATTGTTAGTGGATCGTGTCTGTGAGATCGTCCGAGAGGAGGTGATCGGGATTTTCCTGGTGTCAGATTCCGGAGATGTTTGGGTCTATCAAGACCGCGATGGTTGAATACCTTGATGAGCGCTATGTAGCCATTGTTTAGACGGCTTCCGCAACAGCTTCAACAGTTGTAACGACGACAAGGGGAGGAGCTGGTCGAGCTTTTCAGTACCAGGACTTGTTACTGGGATATATTTTGATGTGCAGAGGGCTACAGTTATCTGGGATCAGGAAGAAAATTTGTACTTGTTATATTTCTACATGTGAGCGGGAGAGGATAACACCTTAGTTTCTAGATTTGAGGCTCGGGGGTTTTGCTCGAGGCCGAATGTGAGTTGCGAGGACTCTAGAAAGGAGTAATGATTGTTTTCAGCTGGAGTTATGAAACTGGAATTAAAAATGCCTTATTGATAGGATTAGAATGTCATTTCTAGGGTAAAGATTGTGCCCTTTCAGCTTACGAGCTCGAAGGATTAAGCAAGCTTGTGACCCTAGGATCAGGTTGCATTCTAACTCGGGGTTAGTTGGTCATTGAGATTGGCGACCGTCATTTATTGCGGGTAAGCGCAGGTGGGTCGATGTGGCATAAGTATTTTGGAGGTCCATTTTGCCTTGGATCTCTTATATCGGATGGTAAGGACTGATTGTGCGATCTATTGCACTTTCAGGATTGTAGAGTGGTTGTATCCTGGTCTAGGGCAAAGGTTGTTTCAGCTACTGCAGTTCAGTTGTGGATGATTGAGCTGGTGAGTGAGTCAGGGTGCGAGGCCCTGAATGATATGATTTCTAGAGCCGAAAGCGGGAGATTTGTTGGAGCACCTTGGGAAGAAGGGTATTATATGGGAGGTTTGCGGACAGGGTCCCACATGATGGTTATTCAACATTGTCAGGATTCAATGATTTTAGTAAGCGTTATTGATTGGCAGAGGAAAGCACCAAGGGAAGTAGCTCGTTGTTGAGACATTAGTTGGAGTATCTATCTTTGGACTTTAAGATTTAGGAGTGGGATCACTCGAGCATTGGGTACTGTTTGTGTCCCTGGGATTCAGAAAGTGTTCAGCTAGTTGTTAGAATTGTGTGATCACTGGGGATTGGCTGGTAATGGAGCACTAAGTGGTAAGAGTTGGTTGTATTTGGATCGATCATTGGTAGTGAGAAAGATTGGAAATTCTCCAATTTTCATGAATTGTGAAGACTTAGTCGAATCTAAGTGGGGGAGAATTGTCTCGTGATATAGATACATGATTGGTTTTGGAGATAGGATAAGTTTTGCCTCATTATCATGAAGGAAGACAACCTAAGTGGCTGTTTGGTTTGTGGGTTGTGTGAATTTGGAGTTCGGTAGAACTCCAGAGCATGAGTATCATGTTTTCCTGGTGATTGATAGCAGAAGTCGGGAAACCAGGTTGGAGTTCTAGTCATGAATTGTGTTCGGTTTGAGTATTCGGCCGACGGTGTGCTCGACTCTAGAGGTTTTGAATTGATAGGTTGAGGGTTTTGATAGCTGCCAGGACTCGACAGTATATTCAGCACATGTGTACGGGTTATTAGCATATGCGGTAGACACACAGGTCAGGGAACAGACCACGAATTTCTGAGAGGATCGACGATCGACATAAGGCCTAGGGTTAGGCCAGGGTTAGAGTCCACGAAATGTATTAGGAGTTTGGAAACCTAAGTGGGTGAGAACAGTCTGCATGGGAAAGATCACAAGGGGTGGTCCAAGTAGATGTTCAATAGTTTAGAGTGGTCTAGATGACTGAAGGCCTAGTAAGGCGGTTCAGTCATGATGAAGACTTTGTATGTGTTTGTAGATGTATGTGCGTGAATTAAGTATGCTGCTATGCTATATCAATCAGTAGGTCTCTTCACAAGTATCGAACATGCTGCTGGAGTAGGCTGAAGACTCCAGTATATTTTGGGTTGATCAGAAGTTGTTATTAGAAATCAAATAGAGTACAGTGGATCTTGGTGATCTCATCAGTTCGGAGTGTCTCATGGTATTAATCTGTTTGGATCAGGTAATACTCCAGTTAGGTGACCATGTCACAACTAGAAATTTTGTGTCTTGTAATCACTAAACTCAAGTAAAGGTTGAATCAAAAAATTAAGAGCATGTGTGATACCTATTATTATGACATCAAAAACTTCAAACAAATACATCGTACAAGTAGTACAAATGGTCATCAAGAAATTGGAAACCCTAGAAGTTCTCGTTTAAGTCCATTTTGGACTGGGACTTCCTTATTGGGCCCAAATGGACCAATAAGCTTCCAATTTGACTTTCATGGGCTTAGAACCCTTATATGGGCTCTAATTGGACCCACATTTATTTATTTCAATATTTTGGGCCATGTTGGGCCTAGAATGAAATGAATTAAAAGCTTTGATCCATGATTAACCTAAACTAGCCCAACAAAGTATAAAAATCATATTATATTTTTTTTAGGTTAAAAACTCATCTAGCTTAACCTTTACATGGGCTTGAGGGCATTGAAGCCCAAATTTTCTTTTTTCCTTTCACATTCTCGGCCCAAGACCCAAGTCCAAGAAGAAATGATGAGAGTTGACTTGTAATTGACACCTCATTATTGTCTTTTGGATCTCCATGCAACGCATTCCATGTTTCCATGCATATCACCTCAAGGGTCTATTTCTCTCTTCTCTCACTCACTCTCGGCCGAAACACACACACACACACACACAAATCTCTCACAAACTCTCTCTAGAATTCTCAAGGAACAATCCTCCCTCCTCCTTCAAAATTTTCGTGAATCAAGAGCTTCACAAGGAGAATCCATCACCAAAATCATTATCTACGTAAGTTAATGCTTGGATCCATGCTTTGGACTCTTTCTTGTCTCCAAAAGTCTCTTCTTAACTCTCATGAAATCATAAACTTGTGTCTTAGAACTCCACAAACTCGAAATCTCCATCAAGGGTGCTAGGGTCAAAAATCACCAAGCTTTCTTCCATCCTTTCTTCAAAAACCGAATCAACATCCAAAGGTGAGCTTCATACCCCCTTATTTTCGGTTTTTATAAGTTTTTGTGGGGGAGAATACAAGCAAAGGTGTAGATCTATCATTATGTGTATGCTTTGTATGATTTCTATGCTTATATGTGTGTTTGGTATGATTATGATGTTGGATCTAGTCATAAATCACTAAAAACCGAGATATACTTTATGTTAAATAATACTAACATAAAACATACTACTACATACAAAGTATACCAAGAAAAATAGCTAAGTGGCTTAACAATACATACTTTGGGCTAAAAACTTATTTTTTTTGACATAAATGTTAAAAATACAAAGTTGAAGGGCCCAAAATGAAATATTTCGAAATCTGATGGGTGAGATGAGTCAAAACAGTTTCCATAATGTATTTTCTGAAAATATACTCTTTTGGAGGATTAAAAACATAAATTTCAAGCTTAATGGGCTAAAAATGACAATTTCGGCCCAATAGGGCCCATTATGCGAAATTTTCTGTTTTGGAGGGCCAAAACTGTGTTTTTCTGTAAAGCAGTGGACTACTAGTGTTACAAGTACTTTTCAAAGGTTTAAAATGCTTTTCAAATTTAAAAAGGACCAAAGTTGCAAAAATTTTCCAATTGGGGCCAAAATTGTAAAAACAGCGAAAAAGAGGGGTTATAACCGAGAAAACTGCAATTTCAGGGACTTAAACTGTTTTCAATGAAAAATATGCTGAAAAATATTAATTTCAATAATTTTTGGTGTTAAAATGTCAAGAAAAATGATTTAAGGACCAAACCGGAAAGTTATTTAATTAGAGGGTTGAAAAAGTAAATTTTACAAACAATGAGGGCCTGAAAACATAAAACTTTCAAGGCTAATTCAATACACGCAACTTGATCGAATATTGGCACCGCGACTACCGACACAATACACAACAATACCAAAAATCGTTGTTAAACGAATTGATTCGGTCTCGAATCAATAACAAATCCAAAACTACTAACACTACAACGCTCAATACACATATGGAACTCTCGGAACTCTATACTCTCATGGAATTACTCAATACGTCGACGTACATTCCTTAGGCCCAAAAGTTGCAAATCATGCTTGTTGAGCCTAGCTAGCCCGATGACATGATCTTTAGGCCCAAAGGATACTTGCTTACATGTAGTTGGGTCTAATACGACTTAACCGCGTGTAAAAGGACTTTCAATGGCAAACGTGCTGTTGGTCCCCAAGGGTCCTTCGGTGCTGCTAGTAAAGTTGGGAACTCATGATTGCGGGTTGGGCTTCGGGCCCTTCACAATTGCAATGGTCTTGAACGACGTAGGGAAATACCGAGGGTTTCGCACCTTCTCTTTTTCTCTTCGATCGTGGGACTACACAAGTCCGGGAGGATTGAGTTATGTGAATAAGTGCGAGTGACGCCTAAGGGATCGCTAGTACGGTTGTCGACTGGACGTTTTCATTAACGGACGTTACAACAATTCACCACCCACTGTATACTCAATGCCTCCGGAGCTCAACGAATACCTCTAACGTAACGAAACAATAAAACATAAACTAATTAAAGCAAAGTGATAGGAAAACGTCGGGTTTTCCTAGGGTTTTCAACTAGTACACTTACGAACTACATGCCGAATTTCACAACTCGTACGCTTACATCTATAGAAAACAAACAAGCATACTCACGGATCTTCACGTATTTTTTTTATGCTATACTATTTTCAGAAAATATCGGATTTTCTGGCGGTTTTCAAAACAATACAAACATTGGATTTTAAACATTACTTACGAACTCACCAACATTTCATATGTTGATGTTTTTCCAAAATACTTGTATTCTCAGGTAACAGATAAGTAAAGAAAGGACTGTACTCTATGATTGATTTGCGGTTGATTAAGTAACAATGAACAATTTATTTTGGGGATGTAATATTTTGAGACAATGTAATGGATGTAAATGTTACCAGTTGTATTATTCCAATGCTTGGTGATGTATGATGTTATGTTTCATGTATATTCATTGTAATGGTATTCAATTGAGTCACAACAGCCCCAGGACGTTTCCTCCGTCTGGTTCGGGGGTGTGACAGACCAGGAGTAGATCTGAATGGGTATCCGTCAGCTTTAGAAAGGCCTGGGATTAGAATGTTCTATCGTTCAGGTTCTGGGAACCGGATTAGACCTAGTTAAGCTAGTGATAAGATTGTAGGAACGTCACTACAATTATGAGGTCAAGGAAGCAATGGATTGCTTAAGGTTGCTTGTGATGTAAGGCTACCATTGGTCAAGTAACAATCGCTCTTAGTCGTGGATTTGGTAACAGCGGGATACGCGCATGGATCCAATTGGTTGGATCAGGAGGTTGTTAGAGTCGCAGTGGCATGATAACTAGTGGTAACTAGTTCCAGGGGAGGATTTTGTTTGGGAGTTGTGAGAGGTAACTATGTGGGAGTCCTTAGCTCTGCGACCGGGCCGAAACCCGGTATTTCAGATGAGTGCTACTCGGTTGTGGCGAATCAGAGGATTTTGGGTGAGATGCAAGGATAGGTCCTTGGAGTTCAAGTTATGGGTTAGACTCGAGTTATGTATATAATGGTATTCCAATTGAGGGTATTCCATCCTAGGGATGACTGGACCCGTCGTAGGTATGCCTGGTATTCCAGCCCGAGGCTGATTGAGTCAAGTACGAGTATTTGTGCTTATAAGTCGATTATTATATGTATGTGGTTCGGGAACTAAAGGAAACATTTTCTTGTTGATCTAAATAGGGGATTATAGTTAGCAATGTGGGGTTTGTGATTCTGTTTTCTAGTGGCAACCTCAGGTTATCATAAGTTAAGTAGCCGATTAAGAGTTAAGTCCAATACATTCGACAATGAACCAGTGTGGGTTGTCTGTCAGGGAGCCAGACCCTCCTGAGACTCCAGATTTCAAATTGAGTAAATGTGATCATATTTTAAGGGTTTTATTTATTATCTTGGTTTTAGAACCCTGCGAGGGTTGAACATGGTCGCCTGGGAAAGGCTAGGGTTATGCTCGGGATGATAGCCAAGTAGTTCAAGTTGTTTGGCGTGTAAGGGATGATAAGAAACGATTTCGAGGACGAAATAAAATTTAAGTGGGGGAGAGTTTTAACATTCCGTTTAAAATATAGTGATTAAATAATAATCTCGAGAAGCGATTCTTATTATTATCCTATATCATTATAGTCCGAAAGTCAAATAATAATTAGTGGGGTATTGGTTTGGGGAGCCAACGATATAATTTTGATTTTTGAGGCTAAAAATGTAATTTCGGGACTTTATTGTAAGGATTTTCATAAGTCAAGGAGTGTTTGGTAACATTTTGGACTTGATACGAAATGATTTTCAGAAGGGAGAGTTTAGATTGTAAAATGCGGACTTAATTTGCAAGAAGAGGAGAAGGAGGGGTGGGTCTTGTCAATGTAGAGAATACATTGGAAAGGATCGGGTATAAAACTATTCCATCACCTCTCCAACCCTAACCCTAAGGAGCGGTTGTCACCTTAACATTCAGCCGCCATCACCTGGTGCCCCTTTGATCTTCGGTGCCACACCACCCCCCTTTCATACATGATATCATCCAACGACGCTAACCATTGCTACTGCGAAAACTTGAGTCGCTAACCTGCTCCTTCGTCGTCCCTTCTTTTTGCTGCTCACCGCTACCACTACCAGATTGGATACGCCGCCGATGTTGTCTTCATTATGGAGGTCGAAGAGCTCAGTCGTCATTGTTTTTGTTGTGGCTAAGAGCGAAGCCACTGTTGGGGCGACATTCAATCGTGAAGTGATTCTCATGCCTCCGTTGCTGTTGCTCGTGAGTCGCTGTTTGCCATCACACGACCATACATCGGGAATGGGGAAGAAATCCATGTGGGAAGCTGGAGACCTTGTGACGGGAGTTTGAACCGGTTCTGTGGTCATGGGAGGGACCGGTCGGACCTGTAGACATGGGATATCGATATGAGCGTACGTTGCCACCCTTAGCCGTTGTGTTACGCATTTCCCTTGTCGTTGTCGCTGCCTCATGCCACTAGGTGGGTGGTCGGAGTCCTAAGCAGAAGCATGTGCGGGTGTGTTTTTAGTTATAAGTGTGTGATGTGCATGATTTTGTGGCCCAAAAATGTAAAGGGACCACCATGGCCGCCAGCCATGGTGGCTGCCATTGTCCAACCACCGCCCACTGCCACAAGACCGGTCGGGTGTGTGTGTATGTGTTCCGTGAGTGTGTGTTTTTTTGAATATCATGTCATAATATTGTAATCATCTGAATAGTAAAGAAAATCTATCACCACCACCGGCCGCCATGTCGGGTGACGGTGTGCTTTGATTGCGTTTTGAAACGACCCAAAAATACAACCCAAAAATTTTGTTTTTCAATGTAATCAAAACCATAATCTGAGTATCATAACATAAAAACATACGCGATGTATCCCAAATCATAATAAAATACTGTGCGGAAAAACTGTATCATACTATATCAAATCAAGACAACTAAAACCATCCCCAGGATAAAAGCTAAGCTGTGGTGTGTGCGATGCTATCACCCCGAGCTCTTCCCTTTGCTTGCGGAAGTACCTGAAACCAAAACTGAAACTGTAAGCACGAAGCTTAGTGAGCTCCCCCAAACTACCACATACCATACAGTAACATATAAACACATATTGGGCCTGGCCCACTGCATTGGGCCGAAGCCCAGAAACTGCATCGGACCGAAGTCCGGAACTGACTGGGACCTTGTCCCCTGCATCGGACCGAAGTCCGGAACTAACTGCATCGGACCGAAGTCCGGAACTAACTGCATCGGACCGAAGTCCGGAACTATCTGCATCGGACCGAAGTCCGGAACCGACTGGGACCTTGTCCCCTGCATCGGACCGAAGTCCGGAACTGACTGACTGAACATGGCATAGCATAACACATCATCTAGCATGAACACATATACTGCATACTACATCGGGCCGTAGCCCGGAACACATAACACTTAACACATAAAACATAGCATACAAATCCTGTCTGAGCCACGAAGGCATCAAACATACTAGCTACTGCATCGGACCAAAGTCCGGAAACTACTGCTAACTGAACGGGCCGGCATTGTGGCCTTAGACCCGTCCCTACTGGAAGGAAACTCACCTCGTAAACTGGCTGCTGAGTGTGTGGCTCTGGAAGCTAACGGCTGCTGCTCCTGTATCTCCCCGGCTACAAGTCCATAAACACACTCAATCAAATACTAAACACTGCACTTGGGTAAAATGACTCTTTTACCCTTGGTCAAAGTTACTCTCATTTGGACTGACTCGCCGAGTTGGGCCACCCAACTCGCCGAGTCCTACTCTCACTTTTCAATCCTACTCGCTGCTACTCGTCGAGTATGGCATCGACTCGACGAGTACCCTCTTGATCCAAGAACTCAGACAATCTTCATCCGACTCGCCGAGCCGTATGAACATACTCGACGAGTTGTTCTTGATCTTAAGAAGATTGCCTTGGACTCGCCGAGTTGTATGAACAACTCGCCGAGTCCCTCCATTACTGAGTCTACCTTCAACTCGCAGAGTCCACTCTCTAACTCACTGGTTCCACTCAACACTGCTAAAAATGAAGGAATCGGGGACTCGCGACTCAACTCGCCGAGTCGTTCTTCCCGACTCGCCGAGTTGCCGCCATGCAACTGTTTTTCACCCGATTTTGCTTGAATCCAACACATACAAATGATAGATCTGAGTCCAATAAGCTGGTTTACCACGTAAAGTTTCCAACTTTACGTGTACAACACATGAATAAGGGAAAATAAGGCTAAAAGATGCATAAAAGGGATAGATCTAGGGTTAATATGCAAAGTATCCTCATAAAGGCAATAGATCTGGACTATGGGACTTCTCAATGAATAGATCCAAGGTTATCTCGGCTTATTAGGGCGTTCATGAAAGCACAAGGCTTGGAACAAGCATCAACTAGTTCTTAGAAGAGTTCTAATGGAGGTTTAAAGCATAAAACAAGAGGGGAATCCGAAAATACCTCCAAATAACTCAGATTTGCCCTTGGATCTTGCACAACTCTTCTTCTCCTTGCTCCTTTCTTCTTCTCCTTCTTCAAGCCTTCACAAATCACACAAAATCACTTATAAACTCTCAAGGATGAACTAGGGTTTTTCTCACAGTGTTCTCAGGGTGAAGGAGGCAAGAATGGGGCTATAAGGTGACTTAAATAGTGGGCAACCCGGGGATTTAGGGTTTCACCCAGACGGATGGACTCGCCGAGTCCGGGATATGGACTCGCCGAGTCTCCAGCTAACACGTGCTCGAAGTCGCGACCCTACTCGGCGAGTCAGGCTATGAACTCGCCGAGTCCCTCTTGCAAATCTTTAAAACAATTACTAATAAATTAACATACCGGGAACGGGTCGTTACAATTCTCCCCCACTTATCTCAGACTTCGTCCTCGAAGTCTGCTACGGCTGGATCTGCAAATATCTCCGGGTAGTGCGCTCTCATCTCCTCCTCAGCCTCCCACGTCCATTCAGACCCCTTCCGGTGCTGCCACTGTACCTTCACTAGCTGAATTACCTTGTTCCTCAAAGTCTTGGCCTTCCGATCCAGAATCGCGACCGGTCTCTCGATATAATTCAGGCTGCTATCAACCTGAATATCCTCTAGGGGAACGACTGCTGACTCATCCACCAAACACTTCCTCAACTGCGACACGTGGAAGGTGTTGTGGATCTGACTAAGCTCCTCAGGAAGATCTAACCGATAAGCAACCCGACCCACCCGGGCCAAAACCCTGAAAGGACCAATAAATCTGGGGCCCAATTTGCCCCTCTTCCGGAACCTGATGACACCCTTCCAAGGTGAGACCTTCAGAAGGACCATATCTCCCACCTGAAACTCCAAGTCCGAACGCCTCCTGTCAGCGTAGCTCTTCTGCCGACTCTGCGCAGTCTGCAGCCTACTACGGACCTGCTGGATCAACTCAGTCGTCTTGAGCACCACTTCTGTGCTCCCGATGACTCGCTGACCGACCTCGCCCCAACAAATCGGGGTCCTACACTTCCTCCCATACAGCATCTCAAAAGGAGGTCGATCAATACTCGCATGATAACTGTTGTTATACGAGAACTCCGCTAACGGAAGATACGTATCCCAACTGCCCCCAAAATCTAGAACACATGCCCTCAGCATGTCCTCAAGAGTCTGAATCGTCCTCTCGCTCTGCCCGTCAGTCTGGGGGTGAAAAGCGGTGCTGAAATGAAGACGAGTACCCATCTCGTCGTGGAACCGCTTCCAGAATCTGGATGTGAAACGGACATCTCGGTCTGACACCACCGATACCGGCACTCCATGACGTGCCACAATCTCTCGCACATAGATATCGGCTAACTTTTCCGCCGATATACTCTCCTGAATCGGAATAAAATGGGCACTCTTCGTCAACCGATCCACTACTACCCATATCGAATCCACTCCGCGTGCGGTCCTGGGAAGCTTGGTGACAAAATCCATGGTGATGTCCTCCCATTTCCACACGGGAATGTCTAACGGCTGCATCTTGCCGTGAGGTCTCTGGTGTTCCGCCTTGACCTTCCGGCAGGTCAAGCATCTCTCAACATACCAAGCGACGTCCCGCTTCATGCAGGGCCACCAATAATCAGGTCGAAGATCTCGATACATTTTCGTCGCCCCTGGGTGGATAGAAAACCGAGACTTATGAGCCTCGTCCATCAATACCTGCCGCACTCCACCCCAGTACGGTACCCATACCCTCCCATGAAGCGTCAGCAAACCCCGACTGTCATAATCGAACGAAGCTACTCGGCCCACTATCCTCTCACACTTCTGCCTCTCCTCCTTGAGGCCCTCCATCTGAGCCTCCTTGATCCGCTCCAACAACGGAGTGATCACTGTCATCCTCATACACAGATCTCTAATAGGGGCCGCCGACACTTTGCGGCTTAGGGCGTCGGCCACCACGTTAGCCTTCCCTGGATGATAAAGGATCTCACAATCATAATCCTTCAGCACGTCCAACCACCTCCTCTGCCTCATGTTCAGACTCGGCTGATCCATAAGATATCGCAAGCTCTTGTGATCCGTGTATATAGTACAATGGACCCCATAAAGGTAATGTCTCCAAATCTTGAGGGCAAACACAACTGCCCCCAGCTCCAAATCGTGGGTAGGATAATTAGCCTCGTGAGGCTTCAACTGTCTCGAGGCATAAGCTACCACATGGCCTCGCTGCATCAATACTGCTCCCATACCTGTGATCGAAGCATCACAATAGACTACGAAGTCCTCTACTCCCTCTGGCAAGGTAAGGATCGGAGCCTCGCACAATTTCTGTCTGAGAGTCTCGAACGCCGCCTGCTGCTCAGGCCCCCAACGAAATACCACCGACTTCTTGGTTAGTCGGGTGAGCGGCACTGCTATCTTGGAGAAGTCCTGAATAAATCTCCGATAATACCCTGCCAACCCTAGGAAGCTCCGAATCTCGGATGGAGACTTCGGGACCTCCCACTGCATCACGGCCTCTATCTTGGCCGGATCTACCAAAATACCCTTCTGGTTGACGAGATGACCAAGAAACTGCACCTCGCGCAACCAGAACTCACACTTGGAGAACTTTGCGAAGAGTCTCTCCCTCCTCAAGGTCTCCAACACCTCCCGCAGGTGCTCCTCGTGCTGCCCCTGTGTCTTGGAATATACCAAGATATCATCTATGAATACTATCACGACCGATCCAGCATCGGTCTGCACACGCGGTTCATGAGGTCCATGAACGCGGCTGGGGCATTGGTGAGCCCAAATGGCATCACCACGAACTCATAATGACCATACCGGGTCCTGAAAGCAGTCTTCTGTACATCCTCATCTCTAACCCTCATCTGATGATAACCGGAGCGTAGATCGATCTTGGAGAACCAAGACGCTCCCTGAAGCTGATCAAACAAGTCATCTATCCTCGGAAGTGGGTAACGGTTCTTCACCGTTACCTTGTTCAACTCCCGATAATCAATGCACATACGA